GCTGGGGAATTCTGGGAGTTGAAGTCCACACATCTTACTGCTAAAGTTGAGAAGCACTGATCTAATCCAACGAGGAATTGACCACTTCAGCATCTCTATCCTTAAACTAGAATCAAACTGCTAAGGATGGTACCAGCCTACACCCCATTAAACTGCAGACAGGAGGCTAGTGGCATCTAGAAGCTTGGGGGAAAAAGGAGCGGGGGGGAGAAATCTTCCCTGCATGTGGAAATCCAGCACCTCAGGGGAAAAGTTTCAACCCTCCCCTTCTGGACTGCAGAGAACAGGCTGTTCAGAAGCTGCATGTTTGAATACTTTTGAAGTGGCATAGTTCAGGTAGAGAGTGACCACTTCATTAGGCACTTAGGGGGGAAAAAATTGGCTTTAGAAAGTTAGCCTTGTTTATTCTGAAATGTTTACTCAGCCACCACCCTACCTTCTAAAACCGCAATCGCCGGGGATACACCTCGGATGCAAAAATGTAGAAAGCAAACAACATTTGCCGACACACCTATTGTGGACCAACCGGAAAAAAAATTAGTTCAAGATTGCGGCGTTGGCCTGAAAAGGGGGTGAGGAAACTCCCCCAAATCTCTTTCCAAACAGACCCTTTTTGCAAACATAACTGAGAAATGAAGATACAGAAGCCTCGAACAACATACCTAGCCTCGGGATCTGCAGGAATATTTCTACCGATCCTGGCCCCCTTCCATCACGGCAGGAAAGCTGGAGGGTCACTTATTACGTTAAATTTCCCATAATGCCCCCTGCTGCGGATGGAGCACCACTGCAGGGGATTGTGGGAATTCCAGCCACCCAGCGGCCTACCAGGGCCATGTGCCATTCAGCCATGATTTGATTGCATCGACTTTCCACCCCGTTGATACGGATACACGGCTTTTTCTAAACATCCAACTCAGATTTTGCACGGCTTGCACAACCCTCCGGTAGTTTGTAAAAAAAAAAAGGGGGGGGGGTTCTGCCTTAGCACAGCGTGCAAAGCCCAGCCAGCGAACAATTCGTTCAGTAAACCATGGTTAAACAAATCACCGTTTAACAATATGGTGTGAACTTGCAGCTGCTGGATCGGCCTCCACGAAGGGAAGCACGCTTTTTAACCCTGCGCAGAGCAGCAAGGCAGGGGGGAAAATGCCTTTTTTTGAAGTTCATCCAGCAGGCACATTTATTTAAATTATCTTTGGACTTTACCGAAGCCTCTTCTCAATTCAGTGGACTCTGGTCCCAGGAACTCTCTGTCAGCATAAATGTGTGATGTCTTTTTATTTTGCTGCTCAGTTGTAATAACTAAGAAACTCCTTGGCGCATCACAGAACGACAGGGGGGCCAGGAGACAACTGAACGCCGTTATCTGCGCGGTTTCTAATGCACTGCTAAGAGGTCCAAATGAGCTGTCCCCACCCATCATTTCCTGAAAATGTATTTATATATCCAATTTGTCACTGCCCGTCTTGTTAAGAACGACTCTGGGCGGTTTACAAAGCAGTTAAAATCAACTGAAAATACAATATAAAATGATAAAATAAATAGAATTCAAGAATAGAGGTTAAGCTGGCAGGAGCTCGGGGAGGGAGGGAAATTAAAGAGGGAGCCGCAAATTGAAAAGATTGGAACATTTTTCTGGCGCCGATCAAATTCCTAGTCTGCGTTTAGAGAGAGGACAGGTTTCCCAAAGTTCCCAAAGGACATATAAGAGGTTCTCCCTCCCTCCTCTTAAATCCTTCCGGTTTATTGATATAAAAAACTTTTGTCCTGCATGCACAAGGAAACATCCAGCAGTTTAAAACTGGAGGATCTTTTCCTTATGGGCAAATACACAAATTTTCTCCTGCTCATGGCAGGTTAAACGGATCTGGTCTACCTTATAGGGTTGTTAAGAGGACTCCTTGTGTTGCAGCCGGTGCTCTTCCAAGGGGTGTTAAATGTTACAAGTCTGCATCCAGACGTTACAGAAATGAACCTGGGTTTTCTACTTGGCCAGCATTCAAAAGAGGAAAGAACTACAAGCCTGATTTGCACAGGCCAAATCAAAACAGGGTTTGCTTTTCGGCTTCAAGGATTATAGCTGCGCCTGTCGCACGATCACTGAATGCAACTGGTTTATTTACTGAACAAACAAAGCCACAAATCTTGAATTAGGCCCTGGATTTCTCCTGCCTGTTAAATTTCAAGACGTGAAAATCAATGCCAGAACCAGTCGAGAGTCCTGCTGATTTCCCCCCCCCATGTCACAATTGTGCTTTAAGAGTTTGCACCACTGGTGCAAATCCAGATTTAATCTCCCACCCCGCCACAAAGCACACTGAGCGATTTGGGGGAATACTCATTATTTCTTACGTTTGGTTAGCCTGCAAGGTGGCTGTGAATATAAAAGACTCGCCTCTACCACCTTGAAGCCGATTCAAATAACACAAAATCCGATTGGAAAATCAAGTATTGATCCATTCGGCGCAAACCCTCTCCCCTCTACGAGGAGCTCTGTTACAAAGGTAACAGGTCCACAGGTACAGCAACACCATCCCCAGCCAGCAGTTAAAGATAGACTGCTCTTCACCATGGAGGCTCCATCTGATCGATCATAGGCCCATACTGACCACAGCAAGACACGGAGGATGAGGCAAAGTTACAGAAACTCATTTGTACATGGCCAAAACACTGGAGTGCGTTATAAATTTTACACTGGAGTGTAAACAGGGGAGGGAAGCGTTTTATAAATTGTATAAATAAATACAAGGGTGATCGATGCATATCATATTACACAGTGTGCTTCTTTTCATGTAAGGTTGCAAGCCAAGGTAGGAGATTCAGGACGGGCTCAAGAATTTCTTCCCACTGGATGCAGCTCTACCTGTGGAACTCACCGCCACAAGACGCCGTTTTGGAGAGCTCGAAAAGGCTTATTTGTGGCGTGGTAAGGCCCCTTCAAGACAGTCCCCGGGAGATTTTGCAGTGCGATAAGGCAGGTTTCCAATGATGAGGCCTTATAAAAACAATAACATGGATTCACCCGCACCTTCTCACGGTCCAAAGCGTAACCGCCACAACGACCCTGCGGGGCAGGCTGCCCACTCCCTGCTTTGAGGGAGACGCCCTGAGGAACCCACCCCAAGCGCAGCTCGCCCGCCGCCAGCCAGCAGGGAGACCTCCAAGTGAATGGCGTGCCCGCGAGAGACAGTCACGGGCTCGTCTTTCAACGCCCTGGATCGCGCACCCGCAGAGACAAGCAAGGCGAAAATCGGCCGGGTCAGCACGCAGACCTTTCTTCCCCAAAGCGAGTTCCAGCAGAGCCCTCCGAAATCTGGTTTCGTCATCCCTGCATTCCAGACTCTGTCAGAGATCAGCCGAGGACGGGCCTCGGTGGAAACAGCAAGAACTGGGGGAGAAAAACCGCCACGGGAAAGGGTCCAAATGGTCTCTTTTCCAGAAGGGTCTGCGCAGCGTTCAAACCCTCTCCGCCCGGCTTCGGGGCCATAAATAACAGAGAATTACTCACTCGGTTCCCACCGCTCTCAAGCGGTTGCACAGAGCAAAACCACACTCCCGTTTGCTCCTCGTTTCCTGCTCGGATTCCCGGTGCCCTCGAGCTGAGATTGCCAACCCCCCTTTCTTCTGGTCTCGTAGGCCGGAAAATATAGGGGGGATGCAAACGGTCCATAAAGAGAAGCATTCTTTCCATTTTTTAAAATTGATCATAATCTAAAGTGCCTTTGAAGGGGCGTGCTTACAAATTGAGGCTGATGGCGGTGAGGAGCTTGGTAGCGCTCCAGATGTTCATCAACTACAAAGCCAGGCGGAGCGGCCTAGAGGAAGGGAGGTCGGGAATCGTACATACCTGGGCGGGGAGATCACAGATCCTTCCCTTCCCCCCAAAAGCAAGGAGCACATATAAAGTTAGCCAACGCGCTCTGAAAAACAGCTGATCGCCGTCTAACAGCTGGAGAGCAGCTTCTAGCAGAGACGCTGGATTCTCACTCAATCACGGCCCGTTCAACGACGGCATCCTTTAACGGCATAAACCACCGCCGGCCGGGGGTCACCCAAGATGCTAAGCCAGCCACAAGAGTGGGGTGGTGTGCAAACAGCAGTTTGTGGGGTCAAAAGCAGCAAGGCAGATGCGGCGCCTCCCACAGTGAACAAAGAAAGCCTGCAAACCTCCAGGCGACCACCAGATGGCGGCAAGACCTGGTTTGCCTATCTTTATGCGGCCACCTAGTGGCTCTCAGGAGGATTGCAGCCCAACTAACTTCTAACTTCTAAAACCACGTTTCTTTGCCATCCTGGGGCACAGAAGGCCTTGGCAAAGGGGCCCTCTAAAGGTCCAGGGCTACAATTCTCATCATCCCCTAACAGGAAAACGGGAGTCGCAGCGCCAACAAGAGTCAGGGAGGGCAGGGGTCTTAAAAAGCAAATAAACTCATCCTACATAAACAGGGGGGG